AGGTGCTTAACCCATATTATGAGTTAGTTGCTATCCTTGTAGATAAGGGTCACACCCGGATGCGACAGCTCTTAGGAAGAGATCCTGACACTATAATTATTTCTTATAATCAAAAGCAGCAAGCATGGTTAAATCAATATTCTGATTCATGGTCATTATCATTAGCTCAATGTCACACAACCATTGATTGTCATTATCCACCTGATAAGCCGATACAGTTTTTGCTACAAACACCTGTTATGTTTCCAAAGGTGATTTCTCAGGTACTTATCCCTAAGGCCGTTATTGTCTTCAGGGATGGCTCCAGCAGTGGTATTGCTGTGGTACATACTCCTACTCAAGACTTATTCAAAACAGACTAATATGACTTTGGCTCAGAGAACTGAATTATTGATTTTAATCTGGGCTTTAGAGCTGTTTCCGTGACAACCTGTAAATATTTATTCAGACAGTGCTTATTTATATACCGAAATCAAGTTATTGAAACTGCCTTTATTGGACATACGGCAGATGAGAGCCTCTTCCGTTCATACAGCTTCAAAAGCTTATTCAAGCCAGGACTGACCTATGCTTCATTGGACACACACGCACACTCGCAACTCCCGGGGCCACCGGCCAGGGAAGTGAACATGCCGATTGCACTGCCCGCGCCGATGGAGCTGTTCTTATCGACTGTTTACTGGTTGCTGCGCTCCCGCCCCTACGCAGCTAGCTATAGAAAGTCATCAACGACACCGTCAAAATGCATCGGCCCTACGGAAGCAATTTGGACTGACTAGGGAAAGGGCTTGAAGATATTAAGCAATATCTTCAGTGTCAAATTCATCTGCCTGTTCCTCATTATGGAGTGAATCCAAGGGGACTGTTACCTAATCACGTATGGCAGATGGATGTCACTCATGTAGGATCCTTCCGCCATACTCCCTACGGACGTACTACCGTACGTACCAGCTCAGAATTGATTTTCTCCACCGCTCGTTTTGGGGGAAGGCTCTAGTCATGTGATTAGTCATCACTTGCAAACGTTTGCAGTCCTAGGCCTCCCTAAGCAAACTGAAACTGACAATGGACCTGGGTAGACTAGTGAGACGTTTCAACAATTCTGTCATAAGTTCCAGATCGCACATGTGACAGGTTTACCCTGTAATCCTCAAGGACAACGCATTGTGGAACGAGCTCATCACACCCGCAGACTTCAAATACAAAAACAAAAGGGGGGAGTCAGCGCCACGACTCCTCAAAATATATTAAATCATATACTTTTTACTTTAAAACACAGATGACGATGGTCAAACAGCTGCAGAAAGGTTCTGGTCCCCTTCTGGGAATCCACAAGCAGTAGTTGGAAGGACCCGTTAACCAATGAACGGCACGGCCCGGATCTTGTTTCAGTGTGGGCCCGGGGCGTGTGTGTGTTTTTCATGAAGGTGCCTGTGGACACATTGTGAAGATGGCGAGTGGATCAGACCCAGAGAAGCTCGTCCCTCCCCCGAAGCATTTGAAGATCGCTCCTCCGATAATCATTCCACGGGCCAGAGGGACTGGGAAGGCATGTGATCCCACACGGGGGCATAGTAAACATTTGACATCGGAAGGACAGGACATGGGTCAGCGTCAGGCTTTGTCTGTCACACCTGACCGACTGTGGCCATATAACACCACGGCAGGTGAATTTTAATTATTTGGGGGTATCATCGGCTGCACCACTGGGTGCGGGGACTCGTACTGGGGTCCGGGATGCTTGGGAATTGACAGCCGTGGGGGCGCTAGATTTGCCACTCTCGCTGGACCGTGGGACATGCCTGAGTACTCGCAGCACTGATCTATTCTGGACTTTTCTAACAATAATGGTGTTGCCAGCAACGCATCCTCCTGGGATCCCTTATTGTCCCAATACGACATCAGCAGAGCTGAGAGGATGGTGAATTGGCCAGAACGTGCTCACCCTCTGCGTCCTCGGAGCATCTCTCAACCAGACGGCCACGATGGTGTGCGACTGGTCTCATCGCCTCGTTGCTCAGAGACTGGCTGACGCCTGCAGGGTACGTAGCCTCTTTGGTGACCGCCCCAGAGGGACACATTCAAAAGGACCTGTGGCGTGCCTTCGCAGCCTTGGACCTTGTTAATCTGTCTGATTCATCTGCTGCAGATTTGAACGTCAAGCATCGCTATGGGGTTCGAGCCCGCGTTGCCGCCCCCTATGCCTTTCCAGTTGGTAATTACAGACAATTTTCTCAAATGGACTTCTTAATGTATCTTGTGTCAATTGTTATTTAACTCACAACGAAGGGTCAGAACTATTGGTTTTGAATCAACTTAGTTTTATAATGTTACCAACAAGATTGGAAGAGCTTTGGTATGATGAAAGCGATATTCGAACTCTGCTAGAAATGAAGTCTGCCTTGAGCAGAGACAAAAGAATTATGGGACTGGTTATTGCTGGTTTAGTAGTCTTTGTGTCTTTAGTAGCCACGGCAGTTACTACCGCGGTCACATTGTCACAGAGCATTCAGAATGCCAATTTCGTAAATGAATTAGCCTGTAATACGTCCGTGGCCATGAAAAGTCAAGAGGATGTTGACTTAAAATTAGAGGTAAAATGAAATGCTCTGGAATCAGTTGTTGTTCAGATTGGAAATGAGGCCTTGGAGATGAGGATGAGTTGACGCTGTCACGCTGCCCACAAGGGAATCTGTGTGACTGACGTGACTTACAGCCAGTCACGATGGGACTGGCAGGGGGTTAGACCTCTTTTCAAGATATTTGGCATCATAACAATTTGAGCTCAGATCTGCCTAATTTGCATCGAGAGATTTTGGACACTCCAAATGCAAAAGGTACTATAATCAGCCCTCGAGCTTTAGCTAAAGACTTGTTAGATAGCTCACAAGGCTTTCATCCGTTTAATATGTGAAGACATACTTTTTGGATTTTGGCAGGAATTTTGCGCTTCCTAGTTGTCTTTTTCTGTATCTTTCCCGTCAGCTGCCGCGTCTTCCAACGACAATTAACACAGTATGACATTGGTCTGCATATGCTGCAGCTTCAAAAGAAGGAAAGGTGGGGCATGTGGAGAGCGGACTGTAAGCCGACAAGGTCCTCGCCGCCTGCGAGGGCAAACGGGTGACCTCGCCTCCGCAGACCCCTTCTGAGAACAAGAAAGTCCAAATGTAGCCACAGGCAAACAGACTAGCTGAAGGTCATGAGAAGATGCGGCTTGGGAAAAGTAGAAGAAACTGTCGCTCTGCCTAAGGGAAACTGCTTACGCCAGCTCGCACGCTCCTGTATAAAAGCAGCTCGCAAAAATAAAACCGCCGTCACTGGACAGTGGACCCCCCGACCCCAGCTTTCTGTCTTCTTTCTTTTCTTCACGTCCCACCGTTCCCACTCAGGTACATTGTCCAGAGCCGCGCTGGACGTGGCAGGATTTACCTCTCACTGGATGCAGCAAGACAGGGCCCATTCTAGAAAGCTGTGGACGAAAGAAAGGTTCTACGGAAAGTGACCTCACAGGACGATCTGATCGTAAATTCCTAACTGGACAGGTCATGGTGGGTGGTCCCACCTCAGGCATGTAACAACTAGTGAAAATCTTATCTGTGCCTTTAGCAAGCCCGGTCCATTGCTTTTGTGTGTTAACACATCTTCGAAATAACCACCATCAAGGGAGCGCATAACCTCAATCATTCGGTCCCTGCCATGCTGTCTCCCACCTCCATGTAATTAATCTCCCTCACCTTCCCTCCTTAATTTCAAGTGCACAAAAGAAACCGCAAAACAGTCACTCTCCAGAGCATTTGAGATCTCGCTTCCTGGCACTTGTCAGTCTGGCCCGAATAAAATCTTATAAAAGTTCTTTATGGGTTTGGATGTTTCTTACATCGACAAAGTAACAGAAGGGAAAATTCTAGGGAGCAAAGTGGGGGCAGAGGTGAGGGGTTAGAGGTCGACATAGGTCAGATCCTAAAGGAATGTAACTAACGGCTGGCTTTTTCTGAGTACGATGGGGAGGAGCCTTTGCAGGGAGCGCCATGAGGTCATCCATGCATTTAAAAAACTCTGGCTGTTGAGTAGAGAATAGGTCAGAGGGCAAAAGCGGACTCTGATAAACCAGCTGAGAGGCTGCGTGATCCACGCGAGGGATGCTGCCAGGGCCAGGGAGGTGGCGGTGACTATAGAGGGACTGGATGTGAGCGTTTGAGAGAGAATCAGTAAGAGCAAGGACCCCCTTGGACATGCATACCCTAAGTTTCTGAAATAATTTCTGAATCCAAAGATTACCTCATCGTTCTGGATGGATTTATGAAGTCCAAATAAGTGGTTGCAAAGACCACTAAATATTAAAAAGAAAAATGTGAAACATGAGTAAAATATGTTGTAATTGGAAGACAATTGGACACCCCAGAACGTTGAAAGAAAGGCCCCCTCCGAGAGCATACGGAGGAATCGACCAGCGGTAAATGATGGATGAGCCAGAAGAACCTCGTATTTCGACAGGAAGCGGCACGTGAGGACGGAGCAGCCCCCGACCTGCCATCTCCGATGGCAACTCGCACATTCCACCACCAAGGCAGATTGTGAGCAGTGAGGCCGGGAGAATTCGCCAGGATTTCCACGCCTCGAGATGAAACCTCCTTCTCATTCGCTCTTATGCTGTGCTCACCAAGCAGACTCGGTGGTTGGTTTAATTTTCCTGAAAGGAGAATCTGAATAACAGCTCTATATTTAACTCCTGCCTATAATGGTCAATTAATAAATTGGCGTGTTTACATCGGACCCCCGTGAGTTGGGTACATGTGAGTCGGTCCTGAAGACTGTCACTATCGGTAGAATTGACTGATTAAATATTGGATGCACAGTTAAATTTGGATTTCATGGAATACAGGGCTCACACTTATTCTAAACGTTTATTATCTGAAATTCAGATTTAGCTAAATATATTTTCATATTTTATTAGCTGAACATGGCATTCCTCTGGGTATTGAACATACTGCGTTTCTGAACCTGCCAAGCTGACTGCAAACCACCCCGAACCGAAGCGATGCCACCGAGGTCCCGAGCACCCCGTATACCCCGGCCCAGTGACCCTCCGGTTTTGTCTGCTGTCTTCTGTTCTCTTTAGAGGGATCTCTCTAGAATGAAATCTCACGCTGGCGCTGTCTCCAGTGACCCCCCAGCCATGCCCCGTCCCGCAACCTGGCTGACCTCATCGACCTTCAGCGTTCTGCTTAGCGTCCACCTCGCCCGGAGGGTTTGGTGCCGTTCTGTGCGCCCGTGGCACCCGGACTCCCCCATCACAGAGCCTTTTCATTTCTCCTCCACCAGCGAAGCAGCTTCCTGGGTGGGCCCCGGTGTGTCCCGTTCACCACCTGTCTTCCCAGGCCTTGGCCTGGGGCTGCGCACAGAGCAGATTCTCGGGAGAGATTTATTCAAGTGGATGATGCCGTTCGAGCCATTTGAGCCTTCAGTTCAATCCAGCCTGTAGGTCAGGGCATGGTGATGAGGACACTAAATCAAGGTTTGGCCCAGGGTGTCCCCAAAATGCACAGGAACTGAGGAGAAGGGCTCGGGGAAGACAAGGGGCCAACCTCAGGGCGTGGGCCCACACTTCCGGAGGACAGAGCCTCGGTTTGATCTGGGTCCAAGGCAGGGAGGTCAGGGGCAGGGTGGGGGCAGTGTCACCAGGCTGAGAGCAGAGAGAGGCTGGGAAGGATCAGGAGCCCAGTGAGAGAAGCAGCTGTGACTTCCCCAAACATGGCAGCCTCACTGCAGGCAACAAGGACACTTAGTATCTGTGTTGAGGGGCACTTTCTCTGCCAGGTTTCAGGGCCTCGTTCCCCCATCTTACTGGACAGAAGGCCTCAGGAGTCTCTGCAGATGTCCCCACCTCCGAATGGAGGGAAGGGGAGGGCCAGGGGAGCAGCTCGTACATACCACCCCCACACAGCAGAGATGCAACTGCCGTCCATGCTGGGGTGTTGCTGACCAGCTTTTGCTGCCCAGGGAAAAGCTGAGGACACCTGGCCCAGGACACTGAAGAGTGCGCCTTTCACTGCCAACCCTTGGGGCCGAGCCACTCTTCCCAGACTCGGACCCTCCCCTGAGACAGGCGGAGGAGCCAGCCCCCTGGGGACAGCTTGGGTCTCAGGCCGCATCTCAGCCTTAGCAGTAGGTCCTCCTGGAGGAGGAAGACGGATGGTGAACACATACAGCCTCCTCACACCTGGCGTGCTGTGGGTGACACGCTGAGAAAAAGCACCGAGGACGTGCAGTGTGCCGAATGGGGGCCCAGGGGACACGTGCACATGCCAACCCCGGCACGCTGCAAGCGTGACCTCACATGAAAAAGGCCTCCGCAGATGTGATCAAGCTACAGAATCCAAGAGGGGGGGACGTTCCTGGATGATCCAGCTGGGCCCTAAATCTAATGACAAGTGTGCTTAGAGGGGCAGAGGAGATCGCACACACGGAAGAGGCCATGTGACCACAGAGGCAGAGTTTGGAGTGATGTGGACACTAGCTGAGGACTGCTGATGGCGGCTGGAAACTGGAAGAGGCAGGAAGGACCCTCACCTAGAGCCTCCCGCGGGAGCGTGACTCTGCTGTCACCTGGATTTTGGACTTCTGGCCTTAAGAACTGAGGGAATAAATCTTTGTTGGGTTTTGGGCCACCCAGTTTGTGAGAATTCGTTACGGCAGCCACAAGACCCTAATACTGGACAGAGTCCTTGAATTTCTGAAGCATTCTCAGGATTCATTTTTAAATCGTGACATTTTCTATCATGAGCGGGGCAGTTTTTCTTCTCTCTGGAGTCACAGGAAGTCGTTCGCTGGGTGGAAGACCCCGGAGCCCTCCCATGGGGTCACAGACCCGCCCCTGGGCTGGAGGCTCTCTCCGAGGTGCTGACTCGCGTGTTAAATGCCACGTGCGGGCCTAGGCGGCTGAGTTCCCGCGAGAGCCCTTTATCAAGTGCTCCCCGAGGCTCAGATGGTGCCACAGGGAAGACGGGCAGCCCCCGCCCTGGCAGAGCTCACACCTGATTGGCGGAGACAGACAGCCGGCAGGTGCAAGGACACCTGGTGTGAGCCCGGGTCAGGAGGGCGGGAGGAGAAACAGCCCCGCGCGTGTGAACTGCGCGTGTTAACTGCCTCCCCGCAGGCGGCCTCGCGCCTGTGTCTCCCTAACATGCCGCACCCCACTCCTCCAGGCCCCAGGGGCTCACAGAGTCCGTTCTCCGTGGGTCCTCCCGGGCGCGCGGGGCCCAGCTTTGGGCTGTCCCATGTCGGGCTGCGTCCAGGCCCTGCAGCCGGGTCGAGAACACAGCAGCCCTGTCCGCAGAGGTGCCCAGGGCCTTGGAAAGGGGCCGCTGGCTGATTGACAGGGCTGAATCCCATGGAGCAGGGTGGGGAAGCGAGCGGACACCCCTTGCCACCCCGCAACCCCCTTGTCTGACTCCGGTCTAGGGTCTGAATACTGAATACTGGCTGGGGAGCCCCTTCTATGGGGGGACCTGAGGCGGGGGCGGGGGGTGACTGATCCTCTATTAACCGAGGACAAGGAGTGCTTTGGAAAATGTTTCCTCTGGGCCCCAGAATCTGAGTATTCCTTCCTGGGCCCCTGGTCAGTCTATGAAGCACACAGAGGGTGCTTCATATTCCCCAGCCGAGAATCCCCTGGATTCTCCCTGCACCCGAGGAACGGGAGAGAAGGCGTAGTGTTCACGTTCAACCACGAGAGGGCGACAGAGCATTCCGCAGGCAACACCGCCATCTGGTGGCCATCGGCGCCCATGACACCTAGAAGAAAGAGCGGAAGGGCCGCTCCAGGACGAGAAAAGGATTGGGGGCTCAGGGAGCAGAGCCTTGGAGGAGGCCTGCGCTGGGCGGGGGTCAGCAGCCTGTTCCCTCCCAGATGCGACCACAGGGTGGGAACTCGTTCCGGCCCAGGAATCCTCCCACAGCCCCAAGCTCGGTGGTAAGTGAAGGGGATGGAATGGTGTTTACAGAGGTTTCCAAGTTTTCTCCTTGCTCCCCAGTGGGACAGACTGTTCCAAAAGACACTCACCTTCCTGGTCAGCTCGTCATTCAAAAGCAAAATCAAACTAAATACGTACAGGACTGAATGTCAAAGGTTCTTTCTAAAGCAGAGTTTGCGTTGCCGAGTGAAATATTTTCAAAAATGTGCTGGGCAGAGACATAGTTACGTCGGAGCGAAGAGCATTTAAGCATCAGGGCCCTTGAATTGCAGGTGCCTTTTGTTGAGGCCTTGGGAGGCGCCTTATCTTGTTCACACAGGGACACGTTTTCATAAGAATTGAAAAAGTGAGATATTTTAACTGTAATTGGTTAAGACTGCTGGCTCTTTCCTGCCCTCGGTCACACTTCCCTTGTTTTGAGAGGCAGTGGTCACCAGTATCTGAGGGACTCGACTAAGGAGAAGTTGGGGTTGAGTGGCATATATGCACGTGGTCTGTAGTCACTTCGTATATCACGAAGTTTTTGCTGCCATCCTGAGCAGCGACGGTTTCTGGGGACGCTGGCTCTTACCACATTTATTCCTTCCTGGGCCCCTGGTCAGTCTATGAAGCACGCAGAGGGTGCTTAATATTCCCCAGCCGCCCCTGGATTCTCCCTGCACCCGAGGAACGGGAGAGAAGGCGTAGTGTTCACGTTCAACCACGAGAGGGCGACAGAGCATTCCGCAGGCAACACCGCCATCTGGTGGCCATCGGCGCCCATGACACCTAGAAGAAAGAGCGGAAGGGCCGCTCCAGGACGAGAAAAGGATTGGGGGCTCAGGGAGCAGAGCCTTGGAGGAGGCCTGCGCTGGGCGGGGGTCAGCAGCCTGTTCCCTCC